AATAAATTATTATAAATTTTATAGGATTATTCGGCAAAGTCATGCACAAACTAGGGAATCTTCGAATACAACGCAAATTTATGATGATATTAAGTTTATACAATATATTAATATTTTTTACTCTGGAATAAAAGCTTTAATATATTAATATAATATAATATATAATAAAATAAAGTATATGTAATATATAGTTGTGGAAGGATCATAGTAATAGTCGATTCGATTTTCTTCTATTTAAATAAAGTAGTGACAGTGACAAACAGAAAGTGTCGAATGTTTCAGTACTAATATCATTAAATTAGCTCTTCTTAGTGCTTCGGTTTAATATATATGAAATATTAAAAGAGTTATATATATAAAACTCATATATTATTTTTGATACTCATGTATTAATTAAGATGGGAATGAATTACAGTGCCACACAAAACCTAAAGATAATCTAGTACTAATAACGTCTCTTTCATTCTTAACATATAAGAACTCCTATTTAATATCATATAGAATATATATAAGTTTTGAAGATAAGAGTTTTGAAAGATGAAAAATACATATATTATCTTTGATATTCATATATTAATACTCATATATTAATCTTCGACTGTAAGATGGTAAAGAATTACAGTGACACACAAAAACTCAAAGATATTTTAGTACTAACAATGTCTCTTCCATTCTTAACATATAAGAACTTATATTTATTATTATATAGAATATATAGAAGTTTTGAAGATAAGAGTTTTGAAAGATGAAAAATATATTACCTTTGTATTCATATATTAATGCTCATATATTAATCTTCGACTGTAAGATGGCAAAGAATTACAGTGACACACAAAAACCCGAAGATATTCTAGTACTAACAATGTCTCTTCTATTTCTTAACACATAAGAACTTCTATTTATTATTATATAGAATATATAGAAGTTTTGAATATAAGAGTTTTGAAAGATGAAAAATGACGCTAATATATACAAACTGGTACTATTATTACTTGTTAAGTACTAACACGTAAGGACTTACTTCATAATTTAAAAAGGTTGTGATAAATTCAGTTTTAACATTAAAAATATATTTTAGGCGGATTTTTCTATTTAATTTAAATGATTTTCTTTTATTTATGACGGAGACCCAACAACCTTAGTCAATCCAAGTTGCACGTAAGCACACACTCGGAGATAAGGTTCTGAACATAAGTATTTAATTTGAAATCACCCAATAGGACTATGTTTACAAGACCTCTTTTTGGGATATCATTAGTTTCTAGTAGAAATAACTTAATTTTGTAAGACTTGAATCTACATAGGCAGTGTTTTCCTTTACCATACAAAAATATTTTATCCTTTATACTAACTGTTATAAATTTAATTGAATAAATAATTTGTTTTTTATATTATTTATTAATAAATATTTTTTGGTAAAATAATAAATTATTATATGAAGCATATCTTTTATTGTAAATTACAAATATAATTTTATTTTATGTACATATATTCCTTTATACCTTTATACACATATACAACATATATATAGCTGCATGCAAATTACTGAATACCTGGAATTAATGCATGCAGTGAGTAATAATAGGTTTGTTTACTGATAAGAGAAGATGAGCACGTATTGTGGGCGTACATGGGTATTACAATTTTAGAAAAATATGTACGTATTTAAAATTAAGAATAAGAAAAGAAGAAAAACACTAGTGAGTTTTTGCGAAAAATGCAGAAGAATACGAATTTGTAAATTGATGCGTGAATGTTTAAGGTGTGTAAGTTAATTTCAAAAAATGCAAATTATAAGGAATAAATAATCTATAGTAAAGCAAAGAAACAGAAAATTCTACATATTTTACAAATAATGCAAACAAAATATAATAATAACTACAATTAAGTAAATTAAATGTTTTAAAAAATTAAATAATAGATTATTTTAATTTATGATAGTCTGCTTTATTTGGAATTTATAAATTAAAAATTGAAATTGACAGTCAATTAAATTCAACTCGTGAGGCTTAAACTTGAGAGTCGAAGACAAGATACGGACACTTAAATTAATAGATGTTTCCAAAGACTCCTGACGACGATAATTTAGCGATATCCGAAATTTCTATTTAGTCACGTGAAGAACACACTTGATTACACAAAAATTGTTACTATTTGAAATGGAGATCTTGTTTCAGGTAATTATTATAAATTATAAACCGGGACGCTTACTCTTTCTTCCTTTTCAACACACATAGAAAAATCATATAATTTTAGGATAACTTTTTTTTGGTAGTTCGATAAGTAGTCGATTACTCATTTATTTAATCATGGCTTATGAGCTGGATCAATGTTGCAGAGTTTTGACTTTTGTCTAAATAGTCCATAGCTTACACACACCCGGATGTGGAATTTTAAGATTTAAAAAAAAATTTCACGATTGAAGAACAAAATTATTTTGGAAGATTTATATTTGAGATACACGCAGGGCTCATTAGTTCGTAGACGTCCATTGTATAATATTTTAATCTTGCTAGGAAGTATACCACTGTTTTTTTTCTATCCTGCAGTTACTGCATTATTGGTTTATTATTATTATTGATATGGGATATGACACTTCGACCGTCGGATCTATTGTGCCCCTTTCTTGGTTAAGAGTACGTCTCTAAGCCATTTTTCTTCGATAAAGAATACTATAAAACCTACTTTACAGAGTACTATAGAGTTCTAATTTTTTGACTAATGAACTGCCAGCAGCGCTATTAAAGACAGAGAAAACGCAAAATATTTTCTCATTCTCTGTCTGTTTACAGCTGGTTTGGTAAATTTTGTAATAAAATCTTATCTTAGCTGCCAGCTCTCTGTTAAACTAGAAACCAGTAATTACTACTATTAGTCTAGAAAGATCTTTTCCATTTTCAAAGAGAATATTTGCTTGACTTTTGATCCAAACTGTAGAGTCCTTCTAGTCTTACAATTTTTAAGACTTTTCCAATCACAATCCGCTACTTGAATATATAACATATTAAGAGCTCTTTCAATAGCTATTTAGTGATGTGACTCTTAATTCTGTTAGTACATCTTTTTCTAGCTAGTTCGCC